CTTTGACAGCGGCCGTGGTTGTGTGGAGCGAGCCGCCACATCCACCTGCCTGCTCCACTTCATTTACTGATTTGCCCTGGTATCCTATTGATTAAGCAGTCAACGGGGGGGCGGGGGTGGGGGGTGTACGGGAACGGGGGTTTGCACATTCCAGTCAGGCTGACCTGCTGCAGTGAGGAAGAAAAGGGACCAGTCTGCAGACTGAATTAAACAAACCGCCTCATATTTATTCTCTTAATGTTTGAAAAACCGAGGCAGTGAAAACAGAGCGAGGACGTCAGTGACCTGTGACCTCGTCATCTCTGATCATGTGTTTGAACAAATGTTAGCACAAAAAAAAACACACTTTTTCTTGTGTTGCTGTTTTTTTTTTTACCTGTTTCTGCAGCTGTTCCACAAAGCTGATGGGATCGGACAGCGCCCGCCGCTGGTGACACGCCAACGTCTCCAGGTCCAGGATGGCCTGCGTGCGCTGGGCCTCGAGAACCCCGATGGTCTGCAGCAGCCTCTGGTAACTGATGTGAAGCAGTGAGTTTAGATGAGAGCGCGGGGAAAGGAGCACGCATTACATTATTTAACGGAACGGCCCGCTACGTTGCTGAGCAACAGACTTTTAAAAAACAAATAGCGTACATTATTTAGCAGTGGTGCAGGGAACCATAACAGGTGATCGAGATTTCACTTTTTCAATTTAAATTATGTCTACGAGGAGCGAGAAATAACACTTTTTAATAAAAAATAGATTCGACAGATCTACACAGCTGATGAAAGACTTCTTCAGTCTTCAGTGACGCTCCAGACGACTCTGTCTTTGTGTTTACTTTGTTAAAACCTGTGCAGCTACAGAAACCTGACCTTTTCACGGACGCCCTCTGGGTCTCGGGGCGAGCTGCAGACCCAGCTGTCACCTCGGTGATTAAGTGCGGTACCGACTCTGAGGCTTTAGAGCGCGTGCACAGCGGTGGCTGCACAGCACACAGCCACAACCCGACGGTGGACATCGTCCGAGCAGAGAGGATCAATCTCTGCTAACTGGACATGAATGGAAATCAATGCACAGGACGGTTTATTCACCAGCGGCCGGTGGATTAAAAACAGCTGGATGAGCCGTTCGTGTGACTGATGTATAACTGTAATAGTCACAGAGGTTATGTTCGGTACCAGACTACAGCTCAGTTTAAAAACATTGGCTTCATGGATGTGTGAGGTTTAAAAATTAAAGTAAAAAAACATACATTCATTCATCTCTGATCTATAGGAAACACCACTTTGCACCACTTTCACGTTGGTACTTTTCAGCTGCCCATGGGACATGTCCACATGTCCAGTGTTTGACGGACACTTGATATAATATTTTCTGTGACATAAATGTCAGAAATGCACTTATTTAACACCGACACCGTCTGGTCTGCACCTACTCCACTGTTTCACTCAGATGGAGGCTGTTCTGCACTCGATCATGTCAGTGTAAGTTCTACATATTCAGCAACCCCAAAAGTGCAGAGTCATGTTTCCCTAAAATTACTCCTTCGCTGCATTGATTTGAGCCTTCAGGAATTATTCTTCCCCCCGCGCTGCAGAAACACTGGCCTGTCACAGAAAAAGGCATCAAATTACCTCGCAATACGACCAGAGTGAAATCTTAGGCTAAAGCTGCTGTACAAGAGGGAAACCAAAACCTGTGTCAGAGACAACGAGGGTCCAGCTGGGGAATACTCTGTCTGTCCACCTCCTCCACTCACTGACTGACTGACTGACTGACTGACTGAATGACTGACTGACTGACTGACTGAATGACCTGCTGCAGCCTGACTCTGTAACACCAGTCTGCTTATAAAAAGGAAAATCACATTTTTTATTACACCTCCAAAACTGTTAACCACAGAAATAAAAAAACTCTCTTTTGTCTAAAACAACAGAAAACAGTCAGAGCCGAACGTTTGTCACATGGAATCTCTTCACACTCCGAAACTCTGACGACCGGCCGCAAATTCACACAATCGCAGCATCACATCCAAGGTGGAAATTAAATGTGAAAACATGTAAAGGCTTAACGAGGAGGCGGCGGCGGCTATAGATAGAAGCTCGCAAATGTTCCCCCAACGACTGAGAACAGACTGAAAATAAATGAGATAATTAAACCTTTTATGCGTCGGCAGCGTAACGTCTCGATTCAATTTTTCTTTCATTGTTTTGTTCTGAGCTTCAAAGACCGAGAGAAGCGACGCTCCCCCCCCCCAGCCTTAACAGAGAAATAAAGTTATTCTTGATATTAACAACAGTGAAGTTCTATAACTTTAACATCAGACGATGAACTAGCACCAAATCATGATGGGTGATAAACCATCTGTTTGTGTGTGTGTGCTCCCACATACTCTTTGTTGTGTTTAAGGGCCAGGTGGTCAGATTCAAAGTAGTACACGTCTGGCTCCTCCTCTTCCTCCTCTTCGTCTGCAGGCTGGCTCTGGGTTTTCCCCTTGTCACTCTCAGCTTCCTTGTAGGACACAGAGCCGCTGGCCTCACCACCTGCTGTGTCTTCGGGATCGGAGGTGGACACTTGCTCCTCGTGACAGGGGCCGACACAGTCCGAGGGGGCAGGTTCCTGCTCCGAGGGGGCAGGTTCCTGCTCCGCGGGGCAGTCCTCCTCTGGCCCCGCGTCCACCTCCCCCTCCTCCCTCAAGGGACCATTGTCTCTGGGAGGGGAGCTGGGCTTGGAGGTGGCAGCCCTCCTGGGTGACGTCCGCAGGGTGTATCTGTGTTCATAGAGCTCTGTGAAACAGGGGGACGTGCCAGAGGAGGGGTTGCACCCTGGCTCTGTGGGGGAGGGGGTTTTTGCTAGTGGGGGTGTGGATTCTCCTGAGTTACCATTGTTGATTGGACTACTGTTCAAGTTGGGTGCAGTGATAAAGGGGGAGGTTTCCTGTACTGGTGTGAGTGGCTGGCCATTGGTGTCGCTCTCCATCACCTGCTCCTCATGAGCAAGGCACATGGGCTCACCCACTACGTCCACCTCCACCTCCTCCACCTCCTGTTCCTTGGCCACTGTTAGCTCGGGTGCAGGGTCCTCCGGAGCAGCCACGTGCGCTGGTGCAGAAGAAGCTGGCGATTCCCCTGAGCCCGAGACCTCGATCTGCCCAGGGTCAGAGTTTGTACAAGGCACAGCAGGGTCAGGGGACGAGGGCACCCCCGCCTGGCTACCGTTGAGCAGCAAAGGGTGGCTGATGGCAGAGGTGGCATTCGCACAGGGTTCCTCGGTGACTGTGCACGGTTCCTCTGCCTTTTTCTCTTTTAGTCCGTTAGAAGCTTTATGAGCATTCAGGGTCTGGGGGACCCCGTCACACTCCTCATGACCGTCCTCAGCCTGGGCGACCATCAGCTCAGGACCCTCTTTACAGCTGATGGGGGAGGAGGGAGCTGGGTTAGCGAAGTTTTGGCTAGAAAATTCACTGCGAGTGTTGTCCTTGTTAGCCTCGGTGACAGACACTGGGCTTTCAGGTTTTAAAGGCTCTGAGTGCTCCTCCTGTCCCTGAGACTCCCCAGAGCGGGAGCACCGCTTGGCCCGTTTGATTTGAGGAGAGGCATCCTGCACCTCTTTCACCGTGTCACAGTTCTCAGGCTTCTCCAGAGTAATGTCCTTCTCTAAACAAGACACACCCCGCTTTCTGGAGCTGGTCCATTGCTCCACCTCTGCTGGTAAAGCCTTCGACACACTTTGCTTTCCCGGCAACGAGGCCTGTTCCTGGCCATCGTGCTGAGAGTCCCGCTTAGACTCCGGCTTCGTATCATGTTTATTGTCCTGCTTTGACTCGTCCCTAACCACTTGTTTGGACTCCTGTTTACCGTCCTGCTTCGACTCCTGCTTCGACTCCTGCCTTTTCTTGGGCGAGCGGGCCCTGGGTAGCGGAGACAGCGAAGTCTCCTCTGGCTGGGCGATGCTGCGGTTCCTGAGGGTACGACCACAAAAGTTCTCATCCAATCCATTGAGTCCCACTGATGACCTTGTGACACGCGAAGAACGGGACGCGGCCATACTACGGCGGGTGCCTACAGTCTCCTCATCCTGGTGCTCTCACGCCTGCAGCAGAATGTGGGCACCTGAAAAGGACACACACACACAGAGGCGTTTCATCAGACAGGTTCAGGGAATGACCAGAGGAGATCGTTACTGATCAAGGCAAACACCGTGGCCCTCATGTTGCAGTGACTTTATGTGTGAATGGTTTGACTAGTCAGCCAAGAGCCAACCAGAGTGTGTCAACCCTGAGGTGCAAAATGCCCCGAGCAGCATCACACCAGAGGGGTATTGATTTTTCCTGTCATTGTAGCTTAGCAACATCTCTCGTCCTCAGGGAGCAGTGGACGTCTGATCCCAGGTCTGTGCTCAGGAAAAACAATTAAAGCTTAAGAGTCTTCTTACAACAATGTTCTATGCATGCTCCCTTCCATCTGGCCTAATGGCTGACGACATGTGGGTGTTGTCACATCTTTGACATTCATCACCATGTGCCCAGTAACACCAGAGTAGTTGGGAGTTTGTTAGGCTGTTCTGGTCAAGTGATTTCTAACACATTTTTCAACAACCATTTCGTCCCAGATAACACTACGTTTGACACCGTGCACACGTGTTGTATTTATACGTTTGACACCGTGCACACGTGTTGTGTTTATCTCCGTCTCACAGGTGTACCAGAGGCCCGAGAGGCTGCGGTCTTTCCACAGAAAACAAAAAAATGAAATGCTCAGATAAGAACTCTACACCAGGGTTAGAGGCTCAGAGTGCAGGAAACCATGGGAGCTTTGAAAGAAACAATCTACTTCCTGTGAGTAATTTAAAGCACAGAAAACCTCAAGAACTGTGTTTGGCTGAGGTTCCTGCCGATGCACAGATGTGCCTCAGATCCAAAACATGCTTTTTTTAAAGCATCACCTCCTAAATAAGCCACCAAATACAACTGTGCATGACACAAAAAATAAAATCTATGCTTCGTAGTTCATTGAAGCACTTCAGCAGATAAATCTATGTGTATGTAATATGTGCACCAACACTTCTGCAGAGGTTTTTATCCAACCGTTTGATATCTGCTCAGAGTTACTCAGAGTCAGAGTTAAAAATTTAAACTCAAGGGAAAAGAATACCATTGAGAAACTGACTGCAACGCCTTTATAACTCTAAACTGTAAAATGTTCTCACAGAGGAATTATGACCCTGAAGTACTCTGAGGATGAAGGCTGCTCCTGCAACAACAGCCGATGAAAAGAAATGTGAGGAGGTGAAGGTGATGTTTAAGAGACATTTAAAAGACTGACGTCACTGAACGCTGATGAAGATCAGTTGTCATGTAGAGAGAAATGATTCCATCAACTAATCAACTCATTTCTATGATTCTACTATTTCTTTTTCGACAAGGGAAAAAAAATGTCTCACCCTTTTGACCCCTCCATGCATGATACTAACCACTGCAGCATCAAAACAGTGGAATACTCTGGCTGCAGGTACAACTGATTAATGTTCTGACAGGGAGATCATGTCATGTCCTAGAACACGCATCACTTATAGTCTGCACAGGACCCAAAGAGCAGCAGCTAATGTGATCAGTTCATGCATATGAGGAGGAAAGATTGGCAATAATAATTCTCTCCGAGCACTGGGTTCTTGGTGACAACAATAAACAAACCGACTGACGTCATCTGCCTTTTACAATTATTAACATTATTTAAGAAAAAATATTGTTTTATAAGTGAGTTTGTTTAACAACTACCTTACTACAGCAAACACTACTACAGCGTCTTATTGTTTCGTGCAGTAACTGATCTCTGATCAGCGTGACACACATTTTTCCTCCTCATATGTTTTTACTCATGACTTCAATCTGATGGTTGACCTGTCGGTTGTACTTTGCATAACTTCAATCCCAGTAAACACTGAGATCACAGGTCATGACCGTAGGCTAACAACATGACACTCGGATCCACAGACTAAACAGCTGGAACCCGGGGCATTCAACCACCAACCCATTCTTGGTGTGTTCTCAAGCTACCGTTGAATTTCAAATTCCACTCGCCTGGACACATTCTGCACACAAAAAAAAAACAAAACACACCGTTTACAGCGACTGTGATTTCACTTTGTGACTGTAGTTTACAAGTCTCAGATTTAAACACAACGTACGACTGGAAATGTACTGTTTCTGTTCATCGGCTGCACTTTCAATTGTCACGTAAAAAAAAAAAAACGTCACAGAAAGCAAGTTCTTAGTCAGTGCAACTACTGTGGCAGTACAACAGGGATTTACCCTGTCAACCACTTCCTGTTCTTCTCAAAAGCTTCTGGTTGAATCATGCAGATGTGTTTAACCTATTGGATTTTTCTTCTATATTTACACAAGTGACAGTGCAACAACATGATGCTTCTCCCACACACAGGCAAATAACCACTAGGACTTGTAGCCTATCTGAGCGTAATTAATATTTAAATTTGGATGGAGATAACGTAGAAGGATGAGGGGGGCAGTGCTGACTTAAGAGTGCTCCAGTGGAGGGGGTGTCGCTATTCCTTTTCTATGATAAATAGAGGCACAGTTGGCAAAGATGAAGTACTGTTGTTACTATCCAAAATAAAGAGCTGACATTAAATACCACTCTGTGGTTGATTTCTGTCCCAATAATTCTGCCTGCTGTGAATTCCTTCTGTGTTTGTGAATACAGAACATAACAGTTTTGAAGAGATACCACAGAATAGAAACCACTGTAAACTGTTACTGCTGTTCTTCCTCCAACGAATCACACATATGACCTCACAGTTCACGGAGGACAAAGCAGGAAAACACACACACACACACCTTAAGAGAAAGACACCGAGATTGTTAACAGTTTCTCCACACATGATGTGAAAACACCATACATTAAAGAACCACACATGCACACATTCTGACAGTAGCAAAAGCAGCGGTAGAGGTGGTTTTGCACCACCCTGCTATGTTTGAACTTAGGGTCCTTCATAAGTCAACAAGTAGAGGGCTAGATATTGAGGACTGAAAACTATTTCCAGTAAATACCAACCACCTCCGACCTTAATGTAGTAGTAGAATCAGTGAATATTTCTTAAGAAGTCAGAAGTAAAATTATCAAGGTATTAAAGATGACAAATAACTCTAATTTCCTGAGCCTTTACTGATGGTTGGGAAAAGCTACACCCATTTCCTATGTGTGAACTGTGACAGACTAGAACTTATTGGTGTCTCATTCTCCAAACACTGCTTGTATTTGCAAAGACTATAAACATATTGGTACATATAAATACATTAGGTAAGGCATGCATGCACGTTTAATATATATTCCCAATATTTTTAATAATAAATCCCGACAAAACACACACAGACTCCACTCCACTGTGTTGATCCCAGGCTCTATCTATGCTAATCAACTTTTATATTCACAATAACCTAGGGAGTTAAAACAATTAGCTCTGTTCTGTTTACCGTTATCTGCTCGCCGCTGTTACTGACCTGTAGTTCAACACTTCCACAGGGCCTACTGGCAACCCAAAAATCCACGAAGTTGTGTTTGTATCCATGCCGACGAGAATCGCTCAAACCCCAACATCCCGATTAAAACAACTGCGGCGAGTCCAGTAACCGACAAAGTTGGGAGACACGAGGTTACAGTTTAAACTAGACACACAAGACAACGATGTCTCTGGGTTGAGGTGTGCATTGGTCTGCGGCACGTGAAATCCAGAATTCACAATTAAAAATCTGGACACATGTTTGAAGCATAAACAACACAGGTGGTTCAGGGAGCTCTCGGTGTTAGCACTGAGCAACTTCCAAACCCAGCGCTACTTTGACATAGCTGCTATAGCGAGCTAATTGCGCTCACGGTGGTTATAAATATACAAATAATATGTCTCGTTGTCAAATATGTAGACGTCCCGACCCTTTAAGTTAAAACTAAATATTGGCAACCACATGTGATAAAATATTTGAATTAAAACAAGTTAATATCATGACTTTTGCCTTTTGATGTCTAGTTAGCCGAGAACGCTAACGTTACCTCGGCTAATTTCCCGTTAACCGCACCATGCAAGAGAATCGTGGCGATTTCGTGAAGCAGCCGCGCTGTGGTGACACTACCAGTCCTGGATACATGTTAACAAACCTGGCACCTAACAATGATACTCCTCATAATTCACAAAACATTTTACAACTGTGGGAAACAGCTGCTAACATCCTTATATGCCGCTGCAGAAACGGCTATAGCATGGTTAGCAGCTATACTATAGTAGTGTAACGGCAACCAGTTAGCAGCAACGGCTAACCGCAGCAGGTTAGCTGATTGTTCGGCGCATAACTTTGCCCATGTATTAGTGTCTTGCAAACAAATCCGTCCGCTGACATTTTAGGTGGATAAAACAGTCAGGGTTCCTCGTTTATAGTCCCACCACTAGCGTTTTGTACAGATATATCTAAAATAGCTTTTGAAGCCGGAGAAATACACATACCTCACTTCCGTAAATTTGCTGCACGTTCGGCCGCAGCCATGTTTTCAGTCCAGTCAACTAGTCCGGGTGTGTGAGCCGACTCAGCCGCGCTCGTCCAAACGCAACACTATACTGTACATTTTTGCCTCAGTCAAGACTTTAATACACGATACACGTCAAGGCAAAACGTTTTTAAATTACGGTTGGTTATTTATGTACTTTTATAACATATGGAACACATTATAACGGTCACTTTTGGTGTAATGTCCACCATTGTTTCACTCACCAACAGAACCCAGGCTTGTAAAAAAATAACCACAACAGTCATGGAACCACAATATCCAAAGGGTTTCAGTCACATTTTATTGATGTCAGCCAGAAGAAATCTGAATAGATTTCACTATAGTGATGTTAAATGCAGAAAAAACACATTTAGGCACAGCATTTTAATTGCAACCTACTACTGTAGATAACTGTCATGATCTGTCACCAAAGAGTTGTGGCCCAGACTGGTCATGGGTGACATTTGCAGCCAATGTACAGACTATACAACAGAAAAAAAACTTCTATGGAAACTTTGCAGAAGATTTGTTAAATTTGTTCATTAATTGATTCGTCCACTCCATCTTTATCATCACTTCTACTTAAGTTAAAGGCGTTTGGGAATCCCAACAAAAGACAGTTAAATAGTGCTGTGTATGACTTGGACAAACAGAAAACATAATTATAATAATACAACCATCAATACAATGAATAACAATGTTTTTAAATCAGGCCACTTACTATACAATGTTCAGATCTGTGTTCTAAAGTACTCACTGTGGGTCTCAAGACAATGCATGGTACTAACGTTAACTATGTGCTGCCTGCAGCCGCGGATACCCAACCAATGGCACACATCCAATCTGCAATAAGCACACAAGTGATATGACAATTGTAGATCAGTGTAGATCTTATTCAAGTGGTGTCAAAATGCCAAAGTACAGCAATGTGCCTTCAACCCATCAGCTAAGACAGAAATTCCCAAAGTCTGGGTCAGGACTGACGGATGAATTTGAGGATGGATGCCAAATAAACACAAGGTTGTTTTTTGAGGTTCAGATGTTATGCATTTCTTGTTGTCTTATGGATAGAAACAATACAGTGTGATTTCCCTTTGTGGTCCAGATTTTTTTTCTTTCCTTCAATCATACTGGTCAGATTAATCCTTAGATTAATTTGTGTTATGCACTGGGTCACAATGGTTAAATGTGGGTCCCTTTAGAAAAAGTGTGGGAACCTCTTAGCTAACATACTAAGCAATGCCATGCCCATACATAAAAAATAATGCCTCTAATGAATTACATTGTAATTGTTGCTGCTAATTAACGATGAAAACGGTGAAGACTATTTTTCCCATGAACATTTTTTTCTCTGGCTGTACGAGCAGAACCGACTGAGAGTGTTTTGCGTGCACGTCATGGGCAGCCTATGCATTTACATGCAGTTACATGTGATGTGACACTGGGCGTGAGTGTGAAAAGCATGCATTCTTAAAATCTACATGACCTTCTGCTGATATTCTACAAAAGAAATCACCTATGAACATTGTAATAAAACACACCCTCCCGTGATAAATAACCCAAGTGCTGAGTCTCATCCGACATACTGCGTCCATCAGTACATTCAAATACAAACCTGACATTTGCGTTAGCATGCCGATTTGTACTGTATACCTAACAGTGCAAAAACACAAAAAGTCCTACCTGAGACTACTCAGTAATTAGTCCCTTCATAACCTTGTGATTCTCATCACCCTAAGTGTCCCATTTTTCTCATTCTTATCACCCTAAGTGTCACATTTTTATCATTCTTACAATTGTTTTTTTGTTCTTATCACCCTAAGTGTCACATTTTTCTCATTCTCACAATTTTTTGTTTTTTTTTTTGCAGCTGAAAAGACAACATTATCTTACAATAGGAGAAAAATCCATGATATCGCTACAGCAAAATGTGTTGATTCAACATCATCAGCAACACAAGACTTTTTAGACATACATGTGCTCATTTTGGTCAAGGGACAGAGGAAACATGGCATTCAGTGAAATTTTTTTTTTAGCTACACATAATTTAAATGCTTGGGTCTGAAAACCACCTGACACACAGACACTACAGTGCTAATAGAAACTGAAGAGCTCTTTATACATATATGTACAAAACGACATGTTATTTCCATTTGTCAGCTGTCAACAGATTTCATGTAGCCGTTACGATGAGGTCCTTTGCTTCAATAAAATGAAAGTGCAAAATAAAATAAAATTTTAAAAAAGCTTTTCATTTCCTAAGTTTTTTTTTCTCCCCCATCCAGTTTTCTTTTTTTCAAGTGCTTGTTTAAACGGAGCGCGTCTCCACCTCAATCTTCTCCTCCGACTGCGATGTCTCGGTTTCCTGATGGGTGACGTTTGGACGCACCGTCACCAGGGGGCCGCCGCCGTACAGAGAGTGCAGGAAGTTCCACGTCTCCTCGGAGATCTGGCCGGAGTCTGCGCCTACAGGGACGGTGGGAAAAAACACTGAGACCTCACTGATGTTTACACTGCACGGCTATAGTCCTGCTACAAAGTGCTTGTTTGTTTTCACAGCACAAAAAAAAAAAAAATTCACACAAGTGCAAACATTAACAAACATTACTCTACCTTGCTTCAGTGTTAGATGACCATTCTTGTTTACTGTGATCTTGGAATTATCAATCGGTCCTGGTAGATCTTAAAGCAGAAAAAAAAACCAAACGGGTTATACACAGAAAAAACATGCATTTCAATTCACAGATTTCTTTTTCTCATAATCTCTCATTAAACTGAAATAATAATTAATCAAATTCTTTTGTTTACATGGAGAACCAATGTAGGGCAAGCTGCTTTTAAAAAGCAGAATAAAGAAAAAGTAAAGAAAAAAAAATTGTTTTCAAATGTGTCAATTACCGAGAGATTCGACTTCACAAAGCAGAGAAAGAAAATAAAAAGTTTCTTTTCATGTCTGGTTGTTGGCTCAGGGGACTGAAGCAAACACTTTGAAGATGAGTCAAGAAGTGCGACTGTAAATGTGTACATGTGCTGTTTACTTATTATGTATTCACACTGAAAGTCACTTTAATCTCTCATCAGACGCATTGGGATCAAAGTGGCATTTAAACCGTGAAGACGAGACGTGCGTCCAATCACCGTTGTCTTTTCCTTTGACAAATCCCTCCCAGTCTCGGAACCACTGCATGCTGATGCAGTATATGACCACCGGAGACTCCTCCTCCTGAAATGCCTTGTTCAGCTACGGGAGGGAGACAGGAAATGGGGGAGGAGTGATGAGCAGAGACAAGGGGGAGGAGAAAGGATGTGAGGGGATGAGGAGGAGAAACAAGGGGGATGGGAGCGAAGGAGAGAGGGGGAAAAAAAGGGAGAGAAAAAAAAAAGTGAGCTTTGAAGGATTTACAAGAGAGATGTTTGAGCTGATCAATCCTCTCTGGTGCTCATTCCATTTCCTAAGTCCCTCCCTCCCTGTATCTCCCTCCCTGTATCCCCCTCCCTCCCCCCGACACCATCTCTGCTCCAACTACACACACGCCCTGATGCATTGATGATAAAGCGTTCACCAAACTCACACCTTTTATCTCCTGCAGAGTGAGAAAGCACCGACACATGCAGCCGATCAACTGTTAAAACACCCTGGAGGACAGACCTGTGCTCTGTGTACACAGGAGTAATGGTTCTCCCTGTATCCGTGGACACACACACACACACACACACACAGCTCTTTCCTGCCGTCTCTAAACTCACAGCTACTCCCGTCTACTTCCAAATGAGAAAAAAAAATAAAGTCTCACCCTGACAAACATGTCCAGCTCTGACTTGCGTCGTTTCTCCAGTTTCTCGATGTCGACCTGGCACGTGTGACAAACGTACAGGTGGTTGACAGCTGGTCCCCCTCCATACCTGCGGGGGAGCAGTGCACGTTAATGGAAAAAGGGAGGCAGCTACTGAGATCAGAGAGCGGAGGGGGGGGGGAGAGGGGGGGATTTACAGTGTAACGACTGGGCCGTGTGAAGTACGTACCTACTGTAAAGGTGGTCCCACACGTTCTGTGGCAGCATTACGACCATGTCATTGATGAAGGACGCTTTGCTGGGAGGTACGCCTGACGACAGACAGGGAAACATAAGGCTGGCGTTAACTCACAGGATCAGGCTTTCAAACACAAAGGTAGAGAAGTGAGAAACGAGACCAACTGGTTTGGATTTAGTGACATAAACGCTTCAGTTAAAGTCGAGCTACACTTGCTCTAAATATCAATACACCAAAATATTGCGACATAACAAAAAAAAAAATCAGGCTTTGTTCGTCTGTACAATAAGGAAAATACTTTCTTTTCCACTCCATAATTTCCAGCCTAACACAGCAGACTGAAGAGAACAGAAACAGACTGGCAAAAAAAAAAAAAAAAAACCTTTCAAGAACCCCGGCAGCTTCCTTACAAAAGTGAGACAGAAGGATCAGAGATAAAGGCAGAAGCTGCAATAAGTGGAGCTGAGGAGACAACCTCCTGCTTGGAGACATTTCTGACCTTTAACTGGCTTCACTGGAAAAAATAAAAATAAAAAAGGAAAAGACTGCGTCATACGCACCCCCATGTGAACACAGGAAGTCATCGTTGGAGATGGGTCCCGGCTCAGCAAAGGTCTTGAACTTGTTAAGCCACTGACGAGAGATGTAGAACTGCAGGAGACTGGGCTCCATCATGCTGAACAAACCCGACACCCTCCTCCGTTCTTTCAGAGCATCCTCGTTGCTCTTTCTGCGATGGGAACAGAGCAGGTTGATTAAAGATCAGACCAACTCAGACAGAGTGAACATAGATCTGCAAACACAACATCTACGACCGGGAATTCTCCGCTGCTGGTCATTCGTTCTTTATTATTTGTACAAATAGTTTGAAGACTTCTCCAGTGTGGCTACTTACTTGTAGAAGAGCACATAAGCCCCGGCATTCTGGACGCAGGACTCCGACACCTCCGTCACACTCTGGTCATCAAACTCATACCACAGATTGTTGACATCGTTCCTGCAGTAGGCAATGTAGTGGCCACCTGGTGTCAGAAGGGCGTTAGAGCGGCAGGATCAGTAAATCTATCCATCTATTCATGGACCTCACAAGTACATGTGAATCCGACCCCCCCCCCCCTTTCTTCCCCCAATTGGCTAATAAATGCAGCACTGTGTGCACCAACGGGTGGCAGATGCACGGGTCTGCTGTAGAGACTGTGCCCACTCACTGCTGGCAGTGCCGTGGTGACAGATGACTGACAGCAGGTCATAGTTGGTCGTCTGGGCACAACTGTCCTTGGCCAGGAACGGCTGCAGATCCAGGCCTTCAAGTGGAAAGGAGACGTGGGTTCCTATCTTAGTGGAGAACATGAGCTCGTGTCTGAAGCGCTTCAGGTGGATACACAGGATCTGGAGGTGGAGACAGAACACGTGTAAAGGAGCCAAATGGATCATGACATTTTTCCATGTTAATAATTCCATCATTTGAATTTGTCAAAAAAAAAACTGGTGTGAAGCACAGACAACAACCCTGCTGATCCCTCTGATTAGGTCTGTTATCGTTCGACAGGCCTGATATTTTCTTTTTGTCATGTGAAATACCTCTGGCAAACTTTGCATTTTACAGAATTTGACTCCATTACGTAATCTGGAGGAAAAGGAAAGAAGAGACATAAAAACAGCAGAGTTAACTCCAGGGTTTGTTTAATAATTTAAAACCAGCATTCAATAAGAAATTTAAGGAAAGTCTGTACTCACTTCTTGCATTTTTCACAGCTGTACATGTTGTCTCCTAAAAATAAACAAACACAGTCAGTTTAAATACTTTTAACACCTGAATGCACCACAAACCTTTGTGGTGCATTCAGGTTTAACAACAGCTCCGATAAAAACCTTAAATCCTAAGAGCAGAGCTGCACTCCTGTTTACTGGCTCAGTTTTCTCCACCAAATAGAATTCATGTTGCGATAAGTAGCATGAACTGAACCCTTTGTTTTAGTATCCAGAGTTAGTCACTTTTTTTTACCTTCATTAAATGTTTAAAATTTTAAAATAACTGAATGTCTGTGTTTTGTTTCTTACCCTTTAATTCATCTCTGGCGAAGAAAGCTGCCAGACAATCCTGGAGTGTAACGACCGGACCCCAGAACCAGCTGTGACAAGACAAAAGTCAAGAGTGAGAAATGCATGCTGGGAGAATGTGACCGTCACTGTATGAACGTCGTGATGAACAAACCTCTTGATGTACTCCATGACAAAGGCGATCCAACCCTGGGCTGCGTACGCCTCCCCACAGGAGCCGGCTTTGACTATGGAGGTCTGGTGGGTGGAGGAGTGGAGCTTGGCCAGGTCCTCCTTACCTGGGATGGGCAGAGAAATGTCCTGGAAGTTCTCCAGAGTCACGGACACCTGCCGAACACAGAGGTCACAGACGTCCGGCTAAGACACAGTAACACTGTAGCGGCTTCCTGTGGGTTGAATGCGTCCTGGTGCTGTGTGTGTGTGTGTGGGGGGGGCTGTACTGTGGGACTCAGGACAACTGACCCTGTCACAGGTGAGGCACTGAACGGAGCTGACAATGGTCCCGTCGAACACGTCTGAGATGACGCTGCGGTATTTCTTCTGCCGCTTGTTCTTCGGTGGAGAGAAGGTGGTCACTGCTGTGGAGAGGCCGAGAGGCAGAGACGTGTCAGGACTATTCTGTGTTTCAATCATTCATCTGCCGTCATTCAGATTCTTCGGGGGTTTTTTCTACTGCTGATTTCTGAACCAGAACATGATTTAGAAAAGTCTACGTTCTACAAATCAAGTCTGTTCGTACAGAGACGTCAGCCTCTGATTGTCCAGAAGTACCTTTCTTATGTGCAGGGTTTAGGCTGGGCCAGCTGGATGTGGCTTTGGGCGGACTGCTGGAAATTTTGGGAATGTGTCCATCCACTGGAACTGGACTCTGTGGTCTTGTGGTGTTGGACATTTGGATGTCGCAGAAGGAATCTAGAGGGGAAAATGGCACATGTGTAGGTTTTAAGACCTAGATTTAAACATTCAGAAGTCAGAGGAGGCGTCTGCGTCTGTAACACTCACCCGTCGTTCTGTTCTGACTCTTGATGGCCCCCTGGCTGCTGATAATGGGCGTGTTCTCGTTTGTGGTGTCCACATCTTTGTCCAGGTCTCCACCAGTGCTCCCGCACATGACGCTGTGAACTCCGGCTCTGTACAGATCGTTGATCATGTTCTTCTCCTTCTGCCACTCTCTGTTGGCCTGGATCTCGTCCTGCTCCGGGATCAGCATCTCGGCCTCGTTGGTGTTGGTGTCGTTCACGTGGTTGTTCCCGCTCTGCACCTCGTTGTCAGCCCTCTCGCTGCTGCCGCAGGATTCGCAGGACTGGAAGTCGTTGTCGGACTGACTGTGGTTGTCCTCCTCGGGAGCCTCGTCCACCGTGACGCTGCTGGACCGGTCGTAGGGCTCGAGGAGGGGCTCCTTCAGCTCCTCGTGAAGTTGATCCATCAGGCACCGCAGAAACTCCTGCGAGTCCTGGAGTTTGATAAACATCACAGTTCACTTTAAGGTCAGTTAGAGTTCAGAGTTCTTTTTGTTATTCAAAATCTGCAGTGATTTGCTCGCTGTAAATAAAAATGTGGCCTTTTAGCCTCTTTGCATCTGTAGTACAACCTCATGTACTGCACTTCTGCCAAAAATGCTCAAAATGTGTTTGGTGAACTTCATTTGGCTGTAAATTAGCGGACCCCCGACTAAGGTCGGGTCGAGAGGTCATCAAAGTTGTGCTCAGGCTGTTGTCCCTGAATTTTAATCACTTTTAGCCTCTTTGCATCTGTAGTACAACCTCATGTACTGCACTTCTGCCAAAAATGCTCAAAATGTGTTTGGTGAACTTCATTTGGCTGTAAATTAGCGGACCCCCGACTAAGGTCGGGTCGAGAGGTCATCAAAGTTGTGCTCAGGCTGTTGTCCCTGAATTTTAATCAACAGCCACTTAACTTCCACTTTAAAAAACTCCAAAACCTAAAACCAAGTGCTGACAATTGTGTTTGTCCAACTTAATGAACCTCAGACATTCTACCTCCCTCTGCAGCCACATGAACTCCCCTCTCCCAGGGCCTGGAATGTTCACTTCATTCATGGTAATGCTAATTCCATGGTCGTGCAGCCCAACATAGCGTGACAAATGAACCTTTCTCAGCTAACTCCTCTGAATCAACAGTGGTGAGCCAGGAGGAAACAGGACCTTTATTCCTCCTTCCATTCAGCCATGTAAATCCTTTATTTACAGAGAGAGGACAAAGAGCAGACATGCTTCAGTGGCACCACTTTAAAAAGGCTTTTATACCAGTGACGCAGTTATCTTGTCTCTCAAGCATCTGCAGGAATCAAATCAACTTGTCTCTCTCTCTCTGTGGGAGTTAATGTGAGGATTTCTGAGTAAGTGAAACGAGAGTCCAAACGCGTACGATGTGTGACTGCGAGACGGAGGCTTCAGTTTATCTGGCCGAGTGAATCGAGCCGGAGCTAACGTGATTTCTGCAGAAGAAACGAGCACTGAGAGATACGGAGTGGAAGAGAAAAGGGAGGGACGGCATCAGATCGCTTTATAGCTTTTCAGTCTGGACATTAAAGCCTGCAATAACCGCAGCTCAGCACAAAGTCGAAGTCAAACTGCTGAGAGAAAAGCGTTTAATATGGGCTTTGTTTCTTAGGAGGAAAAGAAAACTATTACAGCAGAAAAGACAGCGGGACAGGCCTGACGATCCAATCAAAACAGAGCTGGTGTGTGTGTTCATGATTGTTTCGTCGAGGATGACTCACCTGCTGAGAATATCCCCTGAACATTGGATTTATGACTTTGATCCCCTGGAACAAGTTGGTGGGAATCACATACGAGGGTCTGCAACAGAGGAAAGACACGACAACATTGTCAACAAAGACGAAAACATCGTCTGACGTTACAGAGGCATCACAGACCACCACCTAAATAACACCGTGTGTTTTTAATTGTCTTTCATCACAGACTGATCATGTGACTGTCCTACTTACTCACAGTATGTTACACCATAAAAAGAGGCAACAATTACCTACAGCTCACTCCTATCAACAGGGGAAAACGGTGACTGCAGTGATACATAAGCACTTTCTGACAGCCTGGTGCCACAGGCTTCTAAAATTACACTTCCACTGGAAGGTGGGTGTAGAGTGATGCACTCAAGACCAGAGGGAAACGCTTGCAGCTTCAGCAGATTCACAAAAAAGGAAAGAAAAAAAAAGAAAACTCAGAAATGAGCAATTTGTATCTGAACAGAACAAGAAGTCAAATTGACAGAGAGCTAATTCAGATGTTCTGTTTCTGATCCACAGGAGTTTGTTCTGTCTTTTATTTCAAAAACACACTGTGTTTGGTGAGCTGCAAGATGTTTAGTATTTGTTTTACAAAATGGTAACGCTTCACAAAGTACTGACACCTCCGACACACACACACACACACGTGGGATGGTGCAGTTTCAAACAGGTTTATACTTTTTTTTTTTTACCTGCTCTTGTGCCACAGATCTGAGACCAGTTTCTGGTAGCTCTTGCAGAGAGCTGGCTTCTTGTCCGTCCTCACCAGGGCCCCACATTCAAGAAAGTACTGCGTCAACGGTGGGCTGCGGAGGACAGAAGGAGACGTTGTTTGGACCCTGAACAACATTTTACGTTTCCAAGAAACATTAATAATAATCCTAAAAAAAATCCTGAGCCCACAGACCTGAAGGTAACCTGTATAAATAGAGAACGTACTGAACAGCACAAATTTGTCACTGCAGAAAAGTCCCAGTGTTCAGCAGCTGATACAACCTTTGTGTACGTTTGAATTGATTTCATTTTAAAGACCTGGAAACACTCAGCATAAAGCAGAGGTTCAGAATCACAGAGAGAAGAGAGATGAAGATGAAGAGATGTAGAGACGAGCTGAATAAAGAAAACTGTAACCTTGACTTGACGAGAACAAAACCTCCTCAAACCCATGTATGACCCAGGAGACCAGAAGACGCAGCCTCTCAGAAAAACAGGGATGAAAGAAGAAGAGTTCCAGGATCAGTCCCTCAACAGCTGCCTGACTCAGTGCCTCCTATTTTTGGAATGTGATTAAGATTGCAAATTTCAACCCACATTTTCCCCTCATTTGGGCTGGTGTGCAGATTAGACATCTTCAGCTTCATTAAAAAAAACAGAGGCAGGGAGGAACTTTAGTTCTGCTGCAGTCCTAATTTCAGAAGCACAACTTAATTGTAAAGAACAAATCAAAAGTATTGGCAATAAAGTGAAGGGACAGACTGGGGAGAAGAAAGAGATGTATAAAAGTATAGTGGAGAGGGGGAAGAAAAAAGAAAAAAAAGAAGCGAGGATGAGACGGGGCAGAGCAGATGGGGAACAACTTCATTTGTAACAGAAGAGCCCACGGGGATCTATGAAAAGCCATTTCTGCCGTCTCAAATGGTGCACTGCAGCACTCCTCCCTCAGCCGTCACTCCCTTAAATGAGCAGAGTTGTGGTGGGGTTTTTTTTTCACCGTCAACAAAAAAATAAGCAGGGGCAGAATAAATAATAAAAAAATAAAAAAAGACATACTAAAAAAAAAAGGCAGTGTATTAAAGGGAAGAGTGAGAGTGGGTGGCAGGCAGGTGGAGCCAGAGAGGACTCACCAATTGGACAGCGCCTGGAGGGCAGCGTTCATGTAGCAGGTGTTACCGATGTTCTTCAAACCTGTGAGGCCTGAAGGAGACACAATACAACACAACGGGGAAATTAAAACCCAGACACTCTGATCCTGTTCTTTTATACAGTCATACAGGGGCAACGATACGATTTATTGACTTTTCTTTTTTAATATTTAACTGTGTTTAAAAGTGTGATCCTAGTCTGAGACTCTGCTCCATCTGAACATCAGTTCCTAACACTGGAACAGAAGGATCTACATTTGGAATCACTAGAGAAGAAAGAAAAGAAAAAGAAAATGAACCAACACCAGGAATATTGGACTGAGAATTGGGGAGACAAAAATCAATAACTGATCAATGACTGAGGAGGAAATTGATACGGGATCAGGAAATTAAATCAGGCAATATTTCTGTGTATCATGTTTTACAGAGTGCTGTGGTTATGGACCAGGCTCGGCTGCTCACAGACTAGAAGTTAATTTCACCAGGAGGAGCAGAGTGATGGAGACACACCCTTCATAACCAAGACATTAACAGTAATGGAGTTTCACTTTGGCGTCAGAGTGGTGATAACAATCATTTAAACACGACTGTCGTCACGTGGGCTGAGACCCAGTGAAGATTTGGTCTTTAAATTAATATTCAGTTTGACAACACACGGTAAGTTTAATGTTTAACTTCTCTAGAGTTTTTTCTGTGTGTGTTCTCACTGTGGGTGTGATTTGAACAAATAAACTCGTGATAAAGACCAGTTTATGTTAAATGCCAAAAAAACTCTCCACCTGCTGATCATGTGATCTTTGTTACAAAAATATCCCAGGTAGTGACGGCTGCCAAGGAGTGGGCCGCGTCACATGACGTCCCAGTCTAACATGTGTTCTCACTGTGGGTGTGATTTGAACAAATAAACTCGTGATAAAGACCAGTTTATGTTAAATGCCAAAAAAACTCTCCACCTGCTGATCATGTGATCTTTGTTACAAAAATATCCCAGGTAGTGACGGCTGCCAAGGAGTGGGCCGCGTCACATGACGTCCCAGTCTAACATATGCCTTCTGGTGTGTGTCTGTGTGTCTGTGTGTGTGTGTCACTCTGATTTGCATGGTGGCTTAAGTAGGACTGAGGCACATGGTGTCATCTAAGGTCAGTGGAAAGGTCTTGTTGACAACGTAAATACCTTCATGTCTACAGTGACGTTTCCCTCCATCAGAGGTCACCACGGCGACAGTTAACCTCATGATGAAGCACCACATAAGCAGTGTTTTACTGTTGGAATAATGTTTTCTTTCTGACCTCTGGACCTCAGCTCGTCCTCCTCCTCCGTCTCCATGTCCAGATCTTCACAGCCTCCATTGGGGGACACTCTCAGGGAGGTCGGACTCCCGGGGGCCCGGATGCTTTCCTGGAGCAGCAGCACAGAAAAACCTCGTCATAAAAAGGTCTCATTTTAGTCAATGACTATCAAGGACGTGCCGAGACTGAAACACTCTGCATTATGTGATCAATCGACAACATTATAATCTAAATCTAGAGAAAGAAAATCTTGAGTTGAAAATGTAGCCGTCCAACCCTGGTGTCAAGGTTGAGCCCAGCTGCTGTGAATGATAATGGAAGTGTACAGCAGGGGGGGGTGTTGTTACCTGACCGGTGCTCTGTACAGAGGGGAGGGGTTTGTTGTTGTTGGTGTGCAGAGAGTTTGGACCCAGTTTACGCTCCAGGAAAACCTCCTTGCTGCAGGCGTAGCACCAAACTCGGAGCGTGGTCAGGTTGACTGTCAGGTTGTGCCGCGTCTCCTACGAACACACACACACACACACACAATATGTATCACAAAACAGGGGCAACAACACGATATATTGTGATATAATGAGGTTTGTTTTTTTTTTAAACAATGTAACTGTAGTACGGGACCAGGAAAGGGAGTATCAGGATATTTCAGAGTACTGATATTTTCCACCATGTTCAAAACATACTGTACATATATGATGTCTGAGGTTTTCAGACACCGTGGGTATAAAGTATGGCTGACAGTGGGGCAGACATTTGCTGTCGTGGGAGGAGGGCCAAGTTCTGCCGACCCACTATGACAAACACCGACAGGCTGGCAGGTGGACAGGAGACTGAACGTGAGCAGCTGCCAACCAGCAGAGTCTGCATTATTCATCAGGGCAGAGTGGAGGGGAGGAGAGGGGAGGAGAGGGGAGGAGAGGGGAGGAGAGGGTGAGGCAGAGCACAACAGACTAACAAACTTCCATGTTTGGATTATTGATGAAGAGTCTAAACAACACAGTGGGTTCATGAGGCTTCCCAGATGTTTTTTAACCAGTTCTTCTTGTTCTAGCTTCTTCTTCACGCTTCACATCAACGATCACAAAACTGATGACAAGAAATCACTGCCTCCACAGACAAAACACCCACAACTAAGATCCTGAGTTCATTTCAGTTCAGAGACGTCAGATTTATTTACACGCCGTAGCTGCAAATGTTAAGATCTGACGGTACATTATCAAGAGACTAAACTGTCCCACTGCACCCGGTCGCCCCGCTGGGGCACCAATTACCCACGGCCCTGCCTCTGAAGAGATGTAAAGATGGTAAAACTGCACACACAGGTGCCTCAGACAGAGAGCAACAGAAAAAGAGGCTCGTCTTCCACTGAAACATCTAAAGACCGTCACGTTCACGTCACGATCCTCCAGCAGCGTTCTCTCTCATCGTCTGGTATCTGACGTTTTTAATCTGGGTCGGCAGACGCTCCTCAGAGCAGTACGTTACAGACGGCTCCTCCACAGAGGAGATCGTCAGGCGTTTGTTCAGATTCTAATGACAGGTTTGTCTTGTGCGTGTCCTCCTCCCTCTGCTAACCCCCACCTGGTTCCTGGAAATGTCTCAGTCAACGGAGAGGACACTGGAGAGAGAACATGAAGCCTGTGGAGCAGCGGGGGGGCAGGAGGGGCAGATACTGTAACCATGGAACCAACACTGGCAGTGAATCTCCCCCACTTCCCTGAGGAATGGCAATTAATAATGAATGATCAGCCGCTGAGAGCGCCTGACTGTAGAGATGTAGGAGAGAGAAGAAGGAGAGTCGGCTGTGATTTTTAAACCATGCCTGTTTTCAGGAGAGCTCGGAGGTGTGTGAGCTGCCTCTTTGATCCTGCAGAGAAAATAATAAAAATAAAGCAGGGCTGGAGGCGGTGTTATTTCAAGTCCCGTCTCCTGGGAAGTGCAGCGGTTTTCCTGCTCTGGACCGCTGCTGTGTCGGTGCTGGGTTTCACACTTTCAGGGTTAAAACTTTAGTTTTATTTGGTGTCACATTTTATTAATTGATTTTTTTTTTTATTTTAAAGGCAGTTTTTTTACTTTTTAAATTAGCAAAATGAGATTTAAAAAAACGTTTTTTTCTCCTGCTCTAGAAACAAACATCTTTGGTCTTTGGTTATGAAACTCACTGATCCACATTTTCCACGACTTCCTCTGGGTAAAATGACCATTAGACTCACACGCACACATCCAGGGGTCACAGACAGAACGTGGTCTGTGTTCCCATGACATTCCCATTCAAATGTCACTGCTTGAACAATGTACGTTTTATACGCTCTGGTCTTTAGTCCAGTTTCTGCGAGGATTTAAATTCAAAGCGTCTTATGAACCAAACTGCGCGGTGTCTGCCTCGGGGTCGGGCAAGAAAATGATGAAATGAAGTAGATCTCACATGTTGGTCTGTTTTATCAGGACAATCATCATCAATACATCCATGGACCTTTCATTCTGAGCTCTCCTACCTGTGAGTGGACTGTACTGTGGTCCGTGTGGGATTCACCACATCCTACGTACGCACAGCCGTTCTAGGAAAAACAACAACAAGAAAAAATAAAACACAAATTACACGGTTTTACAAAACAGGAGAGTATTTTCTATAAAAAAAAAAAAAAGAAGAAGAAAAATCACAATTTTACCTCTAAACACGCCCATAGGTTTGGTCCTCCCACTTTACAGTCTTGACACTGGCCCTGGTACAAGAAGGAAAGGTTTAAAAATCAAAGGTAGACAAAGACAGTACTCCAATTATGAAATATTTGAACTCCAAATAACTGTGAATAATTAACTGTGTGTTAATTATTCACAGTCACGTGAAGTTGCAGTCAGACTGAATCGTACGACGACTGCATTCCTCTGCACGTAACGACACTCAGTCATTTCAGCAAAAATCAGGCCCAGCCGGTATGAGGTAATAACACATCATCAGTGCTGCAGTCAGTCAGGCCCAGATACAGACGATGGAGACGAGGACGACAGACTGAGGCTGAACTGTCTCTAAGAAAATTAAACTGATTTATAGAAAAAAAAACATGTTTACAAAAAATTAATTATTATAAAGAATTAAACTTCTACATTTATTTTAGCACTTTTTTTTTACTGGGACAGAACATCCAGAACATGTTGTGTTCAGGGTCAGTGGACAAGGTCATAGGTCAGGTGACTTACATGAGATTTCTGAATAAGTTCCTCCTTGGTGATTTCCCCCACACAGTCCAGGTGGGGGCAGTCACAGCTGGACACCAGCGGCATCACTCACCCACAGGTCTGTGAGATGGAGAGAAAAAAAACAACATTTCCATCTGCTGTCATGTGACCTTCTCATTGAACCAGACACCTCGTTGACCCCACATCTGTAACTCGATGCGGCGAGAGGACACGCTGATATTAAAAGAACAAAATGAGGGACGAGTGAAAAAACACAGACGGCTGCAACCTGAGTCACCTCTGCACAACAAGTTTTTCCGTGGCTGCCTGCATGAATTCCACTCATTATCTGCCACTCACACGCCACGCAGCACATCACGCCACTGCCCCACAACAACCACTGGTGGAACCGGCAGCGTGTCAACGGAGGAGTCAAGGAAGAATGCTGAGCAGTAGAAAAACAGGACGATATTCTGCAAACACCGACGTATTATTTAAGCAACGAGGGGGGGGGTTTATTACATTAGACAGCACAAAACCCAGAGGAAACAGAATTAGAGAGAAGACAGTTTTATAGTTTCTCTGTGTTCTCATCACCTGTGGTCAAATGAGGACATTTCATCTCACTGGCAGAGAAACGGGCGACTTGAAGACAAAGGCTCTGCGCAGTGTCGTCAGGACGAGTGGCAAAAATGGAAGAAATCAATCACTTCAGAGTTTACATCAAGATTAAACCAGTATTTTTCACATCACACAACACTCAATTTTACGTTGCTGTGAAGTAAAACTGCTCACACCTCCACTCACGAGTGATGCATTGTGGGTCACATGTTGAATTCATGCTCTGCTCAACCGTTGGAATTTCTAAATCCACTGATGACTGTCTGAGTTTCTCCACAAATGACTGGGCCACTCTGAGGTGGAGTCTGGGCCGCGTAGGAAAACTGACATTATGGGGCTGTTGCAATTTTATTTTCCAACTGTATAAAAAGTGAAAGATGAGCCGACAGCTGGAACAGAACGACAACGATCGCTTTTATATCCAGGCTTCTGTCAGAGCCGCAGTCACATCTCCCTTTACAAAATCAGCAGCGCCTCAGAACGTCCTCTCCTCACGTAGTGACACATACAGGCAGATTTTTTTTTTATTTAAAGAACGGCAGCATCATGAGACAGACGGCTGTCTGAGTGTGAGCAGGATTCACTGGACGTTCTGAAACAAACTAAACAAGTAAATTAACACTGTGATTTCACACACTTCCTCTCAGGTTCACCTGATCTTACACAAACACAGAGGAAAGTAGTTCCTCTGTTGCATAACTCACAGCACAGTCCGCTGGTGAAACATTGATGAAGCAGCAGAGTAATTGCAGGAATCTGTTAATTATTCACTCCTGTAAATGTGTAATAAACTGCATCGACTCCGGGCTGTTTTTGCTGAAAAGTCTTTTCACACCAATACATTTTCTTTCTCGCA